GCAAAAAGTGTATGAAAATACCAACATTTTTAGAGTTTAAGATTTTATAACTTTTTTATTATGCAATGTTTTGTTGCATATTTGAGTTCATAATTTGCAGCAGATCCTATTCTAAATAATATAATATTATTTGGTAGCGTAAAACATTGTTTTGATAGTTTTTTGGACAAAAAAGTGAACCCTGTCATACACCTTTGGAAGGCGGCACTAAATAGTTCATAGCACAGGCCCTGGGGACCTTTTTAATTTTTTTAAAAATATCTCATGGGTCGTGTCTAAGGGAGCTACAAATATAACCCAGTAATGGTTAAATTGCTTTGTGGGCAAAATTCTTTTGTTCCTGTAACAGGTCCTTTGAAAAAATTCTACTGAGAAATGGCGACACAATCCTATTACCTTAAGGAGGACTGTGATCGGGTTGACAATGTCTGTGATCGAGTTAAGGAGGACTATGATCGAGTTAAGGAGGACTATGATCGAGTTAAGGAAGACTATGATCGAGTAAAGGAGGACTATGATCGAGTTAGGGAGGAATATGATCGGGTTAAGGAAGACTATGATCGAGTTAAGGAGGACTATGGTCGGGTTAAGGAAGACTATGATCGGGTTAAGGAGGACTATGATCGAGTTAAAGAGGACTATGATCGAGTTAAGGAGTACTATGATCGGGTTAAGGAGGACTATGATCGAGTTAAGGAAGACTATGATCGAGTTAAGGAGGACTATGATCGAGTTAAGGAGGACTATGATCGAGTTAAGGAGGACTATGATCGGGTTAAGGAAGACTATGATCGAGTTTAGGAGGACTATGATCGAGTTAAGGAGGACTATGATCGGGTTAAGGAAGACTATGATCGAGTTAAGGAGGATTATGATCGAGTTAAGGAGGACTATGATCGAGTTAATGAGGACTATGATCGAGTTAAGGAGGACTATGATCGAGTTAAGGAATACTATGATCGAGTTAAGGAGGACTATGATCGAGTTAAGGAGGAGTATGATCGGGTTAAGGAAGACTATGATCGAGTTAAGGAGGACTATGATCGAGTTAAGGAGGACTTTGATCGGGTTAAGGAAGACTACGATCGAGTTAAGGAAGACTATGATCGATTCAAGGAGGACTATGATCGAGTTAAGGAGGAGTATGATCGGGTTAAGGAAGACTATGATCGAGTTAAGGAGAACTATGATCGAGTTAATGAGGACTATGATCGAGTTAAGGAGGACTATGATCGAGATAAGGAGGACTATGATCGAGTTAAGGAAGACTATGATCGAGTTAAGGAGGACTATGATCGGGGTAAGGAGGAGTATGATCGGGTTAAGGAAGACGATGATCGAGTAAATGAGGACTATGATCGGGTTAAGGATAGTCCTTAACCCGATCATAGTCCTCCTTAACTCGATCATAATATCGAGTTAAGGAAGACTATGATCACACCAGTTGAGACGACTCTGACATGACTAAATCTGGCGTTGACAGTTGAAGTGTCTGTGTTTGGAAGGGTAGATAAGAGTGGGTTCGGGGTCGACACAGTTATTGTCACGGGCCATAGCGAGGCCCTCCTACCGTCCTACCAACACTTACACAGCACAGTTTACACAAACACACCCGCACATACAAATCTTTAAGGGGAAAACTTACATAAACATTACCGTAAATCTCCTCATAATGAACGAAGTAAATGTCAACCTTCACATCACTGTTTCACATCATTGTAATGGGTTTCAACTACATAATATAACAACCAAGCGTTGGTTTTGATATCACCGTGTAACAACCAATAATTGGTTACAATATCATAGTATATCACAGTACACTTACCAAATGTTGGGTTAAAAATATCACCGTGTAACAACCAAGTATTGGTTATAACATCAACATACAATAACCAAATGTTGGTAATAATATCACCGTATAACAACCAAATGTTGGTTATAATATCACCGTATAACAACCAAATATTGGTTATAATATCACCGTATAACAACCATGTGTTGGTTATAATATCATTGTATAACAACCAAGTGTTGGTTATTATATCACCGTATAACATCCAAGTGTTGGTTATAATATCACCGTATAACATCCAAGTGTTGGTTATAATATCACCGTATAACAACCAAATGTTGGTTATATTATCACCGTATAACATTCAAGTGTTGGTTATAATATCACCGTATAACATCCAAGTGTTGGTTATAATATCACCGTATAACATCCAAGTGTTGGTTATAATATCACCGTATAACAACCAAGTGTTGGTTATGATATCACCGTATAACAACCAAATGTTGGTTAAGAACCACCATATAACAACCAAGCGTTGGTTAAGAACCATCATATAACAACCAAATGTTGGTTAAGAACCACCATATAACAACCAAGCGTTGGTTAAGAACCATCATATAACAACCAAGCGTTGGTTAAGAACCACCATATAACAACCAAGCGTTGGTTAAGAACCATCATATAACAACCAAGCGTTGGTTAAGAACCACCATATAACAACCAAGCGTTGGTTAAGAACCACCACATAACAACCAAGCGTTGGTTAAGAACCACCATATAACAACCAAGCGTTGGGTAAGAATCACCACATAACAACCAAGCGTTGGTTAAGAACCACCACATAACAACCAAGCGTTGGTTAAGACCCACCATATAACAACCAAGCATTGGTTAAGAACCACCATATAACAGCCAAGCGTTGGTTAAGAAACACCACATAACAACCAAGCTTTGGTTAAGAACCACCATATAACAACCAAGCGTTGGTTAAGAACCACCATATAACAGCCAAGCGTTGGTTAAGAAACACCACATAACAACCAAGCTTTGGTTAAGAACCACCATATAACAACCAAGCATTGGTTAAGAACCATCACATAACAACCAAGCGTTGGTTAAGAGCCACCATATAACAAATTTTGGTCAAACATTATCGTTATACAAACTGGCGATGGTTATAAAACTTCCCATCACTATATCAAACTACGCTATTGTTTTATCATCACCGCATTACGCCATTCATTTAATTATAACCTCTATTTCACATCTGATTGTTGGTTATTAACCTCATATTATCGTATTATAGCCTGGTGTTGTTTATAATAAATTAGACTGAACTGAAATACATGTAAATGCATGTAGCTGATAGGTTGATAAATAGGTTCCTTTTCTTTCCAATGCTGTCAATGTTTCTTGTCGACTCTAGGTCTAATAAATCGTCATTATATATTGCTGCCATTAAATATCGATATGCTACCCAATGTCCAAATTACTCGATGTTATTAAAGTAAAAGTCCATCTTTATGATTCCATTACCAAAATATTTATATTACTGGTATTAAAAAAACACTGCCAGAGAAAAAGTCAAAATATATTTTCATTTCCGGTACATATATTCCTATACCAAGCTGATACCCTATACGTTCACAACCCTGCTATATAAATCGTTGTACTAACATACCGTGATAATGTCTACTCTCACCAGATCTCAGGTATAACCTCCTCGCCGTAGTTCCTCTTTCTAACGTGATGTTGTAATGTTTAAACGTTAGATCAAGAAATAAAAATATGATCACGAAGCTCTGACAGATAAGTAGCTTTTAAGAAGATGTTAAATTATTTGTACTTTTTAACAATCATTTTACTTGCCGGTGTTGCCTAATATTCGTATGACAAAACGTATAATACATGTAGCTTATAGTGCTTCAACTCCATTATCACAATCATCCTTTGTTTCGTCGTCACAGTTACTGGTACAAAGGGCTTCTTATTATCAATATTGTGTGCGTGATATAAAATATATGCTTGGCTTACTTCAAATAAATTTTGAAAAGAAGGATTACTGATACAAATCAAAAGGTAAATATACAGTAATGATAATACAGTAAATCCTTCATATAATGCCCCTCGTTTCATTTGCCATCTCATTTATTGCCAAAATATTTCAAGGTCCTCTATTTTCTTTTATTTCTGGAGTAGTATTTTACATGTTTCCCTCAATTTATCGCAAACCACTTTATAACGCCAACATTTCTCTACACAAACGGTGGCAGTCTAACGAGGTTTTTACTATACACAGACTCAAAGTTATTCGAAGTCAACATGGAAAGACTTTTTAAACAAATCTTTAGAACAAAGCAAATGACTCCACACTCGATGGTTTTGAGAGTAAAACAGACACGTTGATAGTGCTAACATGTCAGTTCTACCTATTCAATTATTCTTATGCCATGCACTCGATTACCCGGCGCCCCTTTACTAGCTGGTACTCCGCAATTCACCTCAGCGCGCCCTTAAGGGGATGGTAAAGTTGTCAAGTTACGCACATACCGGCGTGTGTTGGATATCAAACTAAATAAAATATCATATGAGTGTTTGTTTGGGGTTTACTAAATGACATTAATAAAAGCAGTACCTGAAAATCAAATGAATAATTCCCGAAGTCTCTTATCTCCAGGTACTGGTTTTACGTATACGAAACTGTTTATGTGTTGGAAAACTGAAGTGCTTGATACAAGAGCAAACAATGGCCAGCACACTTTAAGAATTTTTGAATCGATGACCTTCGATGATAGCAGTTAACTGATAAAATAAGATGTAATGTCCATTTTCTATGTTTATTTTAACCTCTGGCGTGATATACTTGTTCCAATTTATCAAATAAGTAGCCTAATACCCTGCCAGACGATAGCTGAACTGGGCAGGGACCTACGAGCCTGTTCGCCGGCGTCCACTCAGAGTAGTGATTTGGCTGTCACGTGATAGCACTGTGTACCAACACTACCTTCGGAAGCAACGTTTACCGAAAAATGATTTAGCAAAATTTAAAATGGATGTTTAAGGTTGGCACAAAAAACGATAGAATGCTGAGATATGTGATAAAGGTACATACATAATGACTCTAGATGTGTACTGACATGCTAAACAAGATATGTAGGATACAGTTACTATGAGTATTTCGTTATTTTCATGTTTACTCTATACACAGGGAAGCTGGCTGTGGAACAATGGGAACTGAATTAACCTTTCAAGGTAGGTAATGTTTTATTGTATTTACATTAAAATTAATTTCGGCGTATGAGAATGGTTTATGGATCGCTTTATGTTTATATCGTGTGTTGCTAAGGTAAACATTCATATCATGTTCAAAACCACCAATGTGGTTATGTTATTACGAAGGAAAACTTCATGCCTTTTTGATATGGTTAGTTTTATCATTCTCAAAATACATCAACATTAAATCATTGCTTTAAAAGCTATTAAAGTCATTGACAACATGAAATTTAAGTGAATTTAAGAAAAATTATAGTAGCCAATATTTATTATCCGAGGATTTGTTAATTAAAATGAAAGAATTTTCAAACATTTTAATTCTATCCTTGCCATATATTTGTTATTCTATCAATACCAATCAACGTTATTCTATCGTTGTTAATCAACGTTATTCTATCATTATCACAGAAAATTATTATATCATTGTCACACAACGTTATTATATCATTATCACAGAAAATTATAATATCATTGTCACACAACGTTATTATATCATTGTCACACAACATAATTATATCATTGTCATACAACATTATTATATCATTGTCATACAACATTATTATATCATTATCACAGAAAATTATAATATCATTGTCACACAACGTTATTATATCATTATCACAGAAAATTATAATATCATTGTCACACTACGTTATTATATCATTATCACAGAAAATTATAATATCATTGTCACACAACGTTATTATATCATTGTCACACAACATAATTATATCATTGTCATACAACATTATTCTATCATTGTCACACAACATAATTATATCATTGTCATACAACAGTATTCTATCATTGTCACACAACATTATTATATCATTGTCACACAACATTATTATATCATTGTCACACAACGTTATTATATCATTGTCACACAACATAATTATATCATTGTCATACAACATTATTCTATCATTGTCACACAACATAATTATATCATTGTCATACAACAGTATTCTATCATTGTCACACAACATTATTATATCATTGTCACACAACATTATTATATCATTGTCACACAACATTATTATATCATTGTCACACAACATTATTATATCATTGTCACACAACATTATTATATCATTGTCACACAACATTATTATATCATTGTCACACAACATTATTATATCATTGTCACACAACATTATTATATCATTGTCACACAACATTATTATATCATTGTCACACAACATTATTATATCATTGTCACACAACATAATTATATCATTGTCATACAACATTATTCTATCATTGTCACACAACATTATTATATCATTGTCACACAACATTATTATATCATTGTCACACAACATTATTATATCATTGTCACACAACATTATTCTATCATTATAACACAACATTATTCTATCATTGTCACACAACATTATTATATCATTTTCACACAACATTATTATATCATTATAACACAACATTATTCTATCATTGTCACACTACAGTATTCTATCATTGTCAGAAACATGATTATATCATTGTCACACAACAGTATTCTATCATTATCACACAACATTATTATATCATTGTCATACAACATTATTATATCATTGTCACACAACATTATTATATCATTGTCACACAACATAATTGTATCATTATCACACAACATTATTATATCATTGTCACACAACATTATTATATCATTATCACACAACATAATAATATCATTGTCACACAACATTATTATATCATTGTCACACTACAGTATTCTATCATTGTCATAAACATTATTATATCATTGTCACACAACAGTATTCTATCATTATCACACAACATTATTCTATCATTGTCACACAACATTATTCTATCATTGTCACACAACGTTATTCTATCATTGTCACACAACATAATTGTATCACTATCACACCACATTATTATATCATTGTCACACAACATAATTATATCATTGTCATACAACATTATTCTATCATTGTCATACAACATTATTCTATCATTGTCATACAACATTATTCTATCATTGTCACACAACATTATTATATCATTGTCATACAACAGTATTCTATCATTGTCACACAACATTATTCTATCGTTGTCACACAACATTATTCTATCATTGTCACACAACATTATTATATCATTGTCATACAACAGTATTCTATCATTGTCACACAACATTATTCTATCATTGTCACACAACATTATTATATCATTGTCATACAACAGTATTCTATCATTGTCACACAACATTATTCTATCGTTGTCACACAACATTATTCTATCATTGTCACACAACATTATTATATCATTGTCATACAACAGTATTCTATCATTGTCACACAACATTATTCTATCGTTGTCACACAACATTATTCTATCATTGTCACACAACATTATTATATCATTGTCATACAACAGTATTCTATCGTTGTCACACAACATTATTCTATCATTGTCACACAACATTATTATATCATTGTCATACAACAGTATTCTATCATTGTCACACAACATTATTCTATCGTTGTCACACAACATAATTCTATCATTATCACACAACATTATTCTATCATTGTCACACAACATTATTATATCGTTGTCACACAACATTATTCTATCATTGTCACACAACATTATTATATCATTATCACACAACATTATTCTATCTTTGCCATACAACATTATTATATCATTGTCACACAACATTATTCTATCATTGTCACACAACATAATTATATGATTGTCATACAAAGTGTTTCTATCATTAACTTATCATTGACAAGCAACGTTATTCTATCATTGTTATGCATTGTTATTATATCATTGTTACACAACATTAATCTTTTATTGACAAACAACATTATTTTATAATTGTCATACAGCGTTATTATATCATTGTTATGCAACGTTATTATATCATTGTCACAAAACATTATTATATCATTATCACACAACATTATGCTTTCATTGTCATAAACCGTTATTCTATTGTCATACAACGTTATTATATTTTTGTCATACAAAGTTATTCGTTATTCTTTCATTGATAAACAACGTTATTCTAGAATTGTCATATAAACTTATTCTATCGTTGCCATTCGTTATTCTATCATTGTAATATTATAAGACTCTTTCATGCACAGGGGTGTAGGATAGGGCAATTCCGAGGGGTTTTTGAATTTGGTAAAACCCGAGGCTTTGCCGAAGTTTTAGCCAGATTTGAAAACCTCGAGGGTTTGCGCAGAAATATTAATAACATCTTTCTAACATGTACGGTAAATATATCTTAAACGGTTTTAATTTCATCACGTCGCCTTTAACGCATTGCGGCATCGGAGAGTTCCAAATTAGTGACGTCACGTCATTATTGAGCCATTGTGACGTCACGTCACGTGAAATGGGATGTAAGATTAATAGAATCTTCCCCTACCTTGAGGGTTTGATAGAGAAATCTCCAACCCGAGGGGTGATGTTTTTTGGTTGTCTTACCCGAGGCTCTGCGGGGGTTAGACAACCAAAACAAATCACCCCGAGGGTTGGAGATTTCTCTGTCTCACCCTAAAGGTAGGGGATGATTGTTTTTCTTCCATCCCATTATTTCAGTCACAACTCCATCGACAGTAGTATAAACAAAAACACCTTTGGGGTATGAATTTCGTCATTCATTTTTGATGACGTCACAATTACCGGTGACGCATTTTAATGACGTCACAACCGAACACGTGCTAATCGGCACGAGGCTATCTCCCCCTAGGGGGTGACTAATAGAATCTTTCCCCCCCTTGGGGGTGAGATAGGAGAATCTCAACCCGAGGGGGAGGATTCTTAAGTTGCTAAACACGAGGCTTTGCTGAGTGTTTGGCAACTTAAGAATCTTTCCCCGAGGGTTAAGATTCCCCTATCTCACCCACAAGGGGGTGAATGATTCTTTTTCTCTTACCCTGTTCTCCCATTGTGTATCATATACACAATGTAATGATAACGTTACATGCTAAATTCAGGGTTGACGTGACGTTGATGGATTGTTGACGTGACGTCATTGTATTGTTGAAGTGACGTCATGCCATTGTTATGAATAGGGGAATCCCCCCGTCTCAACCCTAGGGTGTGACAAGGAAATCTCACTCCGGTAAAAGTGCGGAAACACCTGTCCAGGGTAAGAGAAAAGCTGATCTTCCCCGGCTTAAACGTGAGACACACCTGTGAAGGGTGGGAGAAAGACATTTCCAACACCCCTTTCTTATCCTGGAAAGCTCTATCTTACACACAGGGAAATGAGAGAAAACGTCAAACGAACAGCGTTATTCAATCATGGTCAATCATATCTAATCAATGACAAATAACGTTATTCTTTTATTACATATTTGTATTACTTGAATTTCCAACGTCTGCAAATGTTCCTTGTTTCACTCAGATTCCTGCGTACCAATAGACAGGAAAGACTGTGGTGTCGGAACCGCACTGATCAACCCCTGCTCCTGCCAGACCTATTACAGATGTAACACAAATTTTGCTATCATCAATCAAACCTGCGCAGGAGGTACTTTCTACGACCACGTGAATGATCGATGTAACACGCAGATAAATGTGGAGATTGATGGAATCTGTAGTCGCACTGAACCATGGATACAGTGCTTAAATGAAACAGGAGGTAAGTCAGTTAATGTATAATGAGTAAGTAAAACGGCAAAATGTATACTACCGCGTCAACATACCTGAACGCAAGAGGCACATGGGCCAAAACGATCACCTGAGTTGCAATTTTTTTTGCTGTTGTGATGTGACAAAAACAAATAGCACATATAATCTAAATAAATTATGCCTAATATACCTGGCAACTTTAAGAAAAAACCTTATATAACAAAACCATATAATATAGTAAAAATTACCACCTCCCAAGTGAAAAATGGGTAGCCCAATGGTAATAAAATTCTCAAATTTGATAAAGCATCATAAGACCCTTTTATCCATAGAGGGTATTAGGTTAAAACATCTCCGAGTTAGAAGAAGACGACTTTCGAAATTTTAGCCAATTTGACCCTTTTGGACAACGCCCCTCAGACACCGGGGGGATGAGTCAGGATATTAATGTTCATAACAAAAAACTGCAATTACACGATAATTTTTCCAACCAAGTTGAGAAAGGAGAAATTATACCAAAATGAGAAATTATACCAAAATGTGTTAAACTTCCATATGAACTATAGTAAAATTTACCCCATCCCAAGGGGGAAATGGGTGGACCTGGGATCATAACATTTTGATAAAGCACCTTAAGATATTTCCATTCATGAAGTCCATGGGGCTAAGAGATCCATATAATTCACACTTTTAATTTGCATTTGACTATGGAAATACACACAACAAAAAGACACGATTTAAATAAACAATCTGATCTCCCACAAAAAATACCGGAAGTTAAATAAGAATTTCTTGTACCTCTGACACAAATATAATGACCCAAAAGCAAATACTAGATTTGTGGGTGTTTCCGGTATATTCAGTACCCAGACGAGACATTTGGTACCATTTGTGACTTGTTTGAGCATAATCCTCAGAACTCCTACTCTCCGTACTGTTGTATGCATAATCCTCAGAACTCCTACTCTCCGTACTGTTGTATACATAATCCTCAGAACTCCTACTCTCCGTACTGTTGTATACATAATCCTCAGAACTCATACTCTCCGTACTGTTGTATGCATAATCCTCAGAACTCATACTCTCCGTACTGTTGTATGCATAATCCTCAGAACTCCTACTCTCCGTACTGTTGTATGCATAATCCTCAGAACGCATACTCTCCGTACTGTTGTATACATAATCCTCAGGACTCATACTCTCCGTACTGTTGTATACATAATCCTCAGAACTCATACTCTCCGTACTGTTGTATGCATAATCCTCAGAACTCATACTCTCCGTACTGTTGTATGCATAATCCTCAGAACTCCTACTCTCCGTACTGTTGTATGCATAATCCTCAGGACTCATACTCTCCGTACTGTTGTATACATAATCCTCAGAACTCATACTCTCCGTACTGTTGTATACATAATCCTCAGGACTCATACTCTCCGTACTGTTGTATACATAATCCTCAGAACTCATACTCTCCGTACTGTTGTATACATAATCCTCAGGACTCATACTCTCCGTACTGTTGTATACATAATCCTCAGAACTCATACTCTCCGTACTGTTGTATACATAATCCTCAGGACTCATACTCTCCGTACTGTTGTATACATAATCCTCAGAACTCATACTCTCCGTACTGTTGTATACATAATCCTCAGGACTCATACTCTCCGTACTGTTGTATACATAATCCTCAGAACTCATACTCTCCGTACTGTTGTATACATAATCCTCAGGACTCATACTCTCCGTACTGTTGTATACATAATCCTCAGAACTCATACTCTCCGTACTGTTGTATACATAATCCTCAGGACTCATACTCTCCGTACTGTAATATGCATAATCCTCAGAACTCCTACTCTCCGTACTGTTGTATACATAATCCTCAGAACTCCTACTCTCCGTACTGTTGTATACATAATCCTCAGGACTCATACTCTCCGTACTGTTGTATACATAATCCTCAGAACTCATACTCTCCGTACTGTTGTATACATAATCCTCAGGACTCATACTCTCCGTACTGTAATATGCATAATCCTCAGAACTCCTACTCTCCGTACTGTTGTATACATAATCCTCAGAACTCCTACTCTCCGTACTGTTGTATACATAATCCTCAGGACTCCTACTCTCCGTACTGTTGTATACATAATCCTCAGGACTCCTACTCTCCGTACTGTTGTATACATAATCCTCAGGACTCATACTCTCCGTACTGTTGTATACATAATCCTCAGGACTCATACTCTCCGTACTGTTGTATACATAATCCTCAGGACTCATACTCTCCGTACTGTTGTATACATAATCCTCAGGACTCATACTCTCCGTACTGTTGTATACATAATCCTCAGGACTCATACTCTCCGTACTGTTGTATACATAATCCTCAGGACTCATACTCTCCGTACTGTTGTATACATAATCCTCAGAACTCATACTCTCCGTACTGTTGTGTACATAATCCTCAGGACTCATACTCTCCGTACTGTTGTATGTATAATCCTCAGGACTCATACTCTCCGTACTGTTGTATGCTGTGCAACGAAGAGTACACTTTCTATATGAAGATGTTTTACCCTATGTTTCGGCTAGTTAGAACACGAATATTTTATTTTTCTATATGAATATGATTTTCCTTTGTCAAACTTAACGAATGTTTGTTTGCATCAATGCATATTTGGAAACATTATATAATGGTGACAGAATTTAATATATGGACTTCAAAGAATATACACTATTGTGTAAGTGTTCACGTACAGGGATAGTCAATTTATCCTCGCATAAAAATTAAATATGAAAACAGTTTTGTAGTCTGATTTGGACATATCAAGTAACGGTATTGTATAAGGTAATGTCGACATACGTAATAGATAAATATGATTTAGTGTTTCCATTAATTGCCACTTTTCACGTCATCATCTATTGCTAGCTAACATTGCGGAGCTGGCACAGAAATGTGGAGGTGCATACGCTACATCGACCGTGACGCCGACACCAGGGCCAGATGGTGGAAATACCGGCCTGGTTGTCGGTGTCGTAGTAGCTTGTGTACTACTTGTTGTTGTCTTAGCCATTCTGGTCTACTGCTGGTACCAACGTCAAAACAAAAGCGACACCACGTAAGTTTAGTTTAATCAGTATTTTTATTCAATATGGCAGTGACAAAATAATACAAAAATCAACAAAGAGGATTCGAAAACGAGTACATAAGTACTTATATCAATATACTTATATCAATATCATTATTATTAATAAACCTGGCAATAGGACGGCACTGTTATATATATTTTGATAGTATAACAGACAAAGAAAAAAGAAGAAATCAGGGAGGGGAGGGGGGAAGGGGTTACGAAGAGAATAACAAAAAGAGAACTGCATTACTTGGTTGAATCTTGTTGAAATGTGATTCATGAAAAAGTAACCCTAATGAGCTCTATATAAGGATGCGTTAAATACATTTGAAATATCTAAATTACATATCAATTGCCTTACATTGATTCCAATCATAAAAGTATGCTGATATCCTGTAAAATATAAGAGTGTTTTAGTCTATATTAATTACAGTATCAACAAGACTCATTAAGTCTAAATATCATAATGACGTGTCACAAGTGTTGTCGAACAACATAGGTTTCAAAGTTAATGTACATTGTTTAAACAAACACAATAGTTACATAAAAAATAAAATAAAATAAATGAATCTTGCACTAAAATCGTTTCGACTTACAGATAAATTGTTGGACAGAGTCAAACATATTTAAGTTATATTGATCTGGCATATCAGGATTTCCATATAGCAGCAGATTTAAATTATTCCATGGAGAAAGATTTCTAAAACATTGTAATCTTAATTGTTCGATGTTAGGACAAAAGAGGAGAAAGTGTTCAGTAGTTTCAGCAGAACAGTTACAAGAACACATGGGACTTTCAACTAAGTTACGTAAAAACAAGTGATTATTAAGGGAACTACAGTTAATCCTCAGCCAAATCTACTTTTGCAGTAATAGGATGGAACAAGATTATTGCGATAGTTGACATTCACGGACTTTTTAAGGTTAGTGAGTGATGGGTTATACACGTAAGTTGTCTGTCCCTTGTAAAATGTATAAAAGAAGCTGTATTGAGAAAATCTTAATCCAATTTCTGTTCTTTTTTAGATCTTTGGTTGTTCTATCATATGAGTATTTGGCCTTTTAAATCAATTGTTTGAATTAGTAACCATTTCTGTTTAACCAGGCGACAGGAGAGGGTGATACTACGTATATGTGTGGTAAATGTGCTTAAGACACAAAAAACGCAAACACCAAATTAGCTACCATGACATTTTATTTGTTAAGGTTTGGCGATTATATGGCCACTGCGGTTACCGACTCAAAATTAGAGTCATAGGGCAAACCAAACTGAGATAACTGCAGATCAACTTGATCGAACTTGTGCAAAATTGCAAAAATGAAATGAGGACAAATTAAGTGAACACTTGGAACGGATGTTCACCTCATTTCCCCCACTTTACCAATTACTTATTCGACAGTAGTTGGTCCCATTAGAAATATTTGAAATTCAATTGACCACTGGAAACAGCTGTACACTTCAAATTAATTATGCTATTAAATTGCAAATACAATTTGTTAACTTAACAAACTTATTTCCAGTGAAACTGTTCATTGAATGGCAACTGGTCAATATGGTAAAAATTTGCACTTAAGCGGTACTGGTTTTGCCTCAAAAGACCGCCACATGACAATGAAAGTATTAGGTTACATAATACGCACCCACAATGAAAAACTACACAAACGATAGCGATTTCCCACAAGATACAAAAACCCGGTGACAAATATTCCAGCATGGCGATGGCGGTCACCCTTATCCCCCGAGCTAAACACGCCGTTCCGGAAGACTAATAACATCTAAAGTACATACGTGAAACAATACCAACTAGGCCTATTGATATTTCATCAAATGAAATATTGTAGTTCCGTTAAGAAGGAAAATAAATATATTTAAAAAATAGCAAAAATTTAGATACAAAAACTTAAATTTGTTTTGACAATTTCTTTATGATTGTGCTTACCATGGATTCTGAGATAGCAAGAGGAAGTTATAGAGGAGATAACTCTGACATTCATATGCTCAGCTAGAATAATCAATTTAATTTAATTTTTAACATTAAATTTTAATATATCGAAGTGTTATACAATGAAAAAGCAAATATTTCGAATTAACTGTGTTTTGATATTATATGAATTCACGTGCTGATATTAATTAACAGTCAGTGTGTTGATGTTGTATGACGTCATATAGAGATATTGCTGATTGACAGTGTTCGTGTTGTATGACTTTATGTAATGATGTTGCTAATTGACAAAGTGTGTTGATATATATGTGCTGAAAGATGTTACTATTAGACTGTCCTATGGAAATACTATATAGAAACACACTGTATGTGCTAATATTGTATTGTTAACATTTTCAGAAAGATGAACGAACACAAGGACAGTATCAACAACCCAAGTTATTTTAACAAGATAGAACGCATAGACAGTGTGTATGCAGAGATCGACGACAACATGGTAATGACATTATGAGTCTTTCTCTTTAATTTTATATGAATCCTTTATGATAGCGAAGTTTAGTTGGTGGTAAATGTGCGAATTCTATTCATTGAAACTGTTTGTCTTTTCATTCTCTCAATCACTATATCTTTTTCCTACGAAACAGTTTATTTTGTAAATTACATGTTTGCAGTTGTCCGTTCTCTGTATTAGCTGTATTTTTGATTGAACTGTATACTAGTTCCTTATATTATAGCAGAGACTTTACATTTATTGGAAAAGTTGTCGTTTTTTCATGGAAGCAAATGGTCAATTTCGTTATAGTATTTGTAATTTTCGTTATAAGAGGTTTTCTTGAAGCATTACCACTATCCTTGCATTACAAGTTTACTTGTGACAATTGCGATTTGATATTGGTATCATGCATAAACAAGTTGGTGTCGGCTAAGAAACCAAATAAGGGGAAGTAATTCACATTTAGAGAGTGGCACATGACTCATAGAATTGACAATAGACTGACTATCGCCACCAAAATCAACACTTATCGCAACTTTATCATACATTCATTAATGTTAAAATGAACAACCTAATACATATTGCGTTACTGATTGATCGAATGACTTTGTAAACCTACTCCGATCTGGCACAAAAGTAGATACCAGCATTAGGTCAGAAGACTAACTAGAACGGTCTTATGAAAATATGTAAGTACTTTGCTCCTAAATAGATGATGATCCTTTGTTACAGAACACTCCTGTGTATAATTCGAGCACCCTGGCTAACATGCGCCCTCCACTTCCGGCCAGTAGACCTTCATCACAGGCGTCCACCGCTAGCGGGGTAATTAGCCTGGATACCCTCGGCACGGACAAAGACCCGCCAAACCGTACCATGGAGAGCGTGTACGTGGAACCATTAGCATCTGATGACACTCCCAAGGTGACGAGGGCGTCGGAAACGTTGGAGCCTAAACCTTCGGTGTACGCCGAGGTTTTGGACCGGCCACCTGATCCAGAACCTTCCACTGTCGATCTATCTTCTCCTTACGATAACTCATGGCAGTCGTAGAACTCGGGATCTCACATTGAGGCACACTTTCTCGCAAAAATACTCGGATTTTCTCGACACAATCACCTATTGTGTTCCCTGTTTCATATCTGCTGTTAGGACGTTTCCTCCATCATGGTCAATTTGATGGTCATTTTACTCAAAGTAGAACGTACTGAAGGAACGTCAACTTATGTATTAATCGTTTATAATTCAGTGATTGGCTGCCTCCTGTTTTTCATTGAAATTATGATATTTGTAACTTTACTAAAAAAGTACACCTTTTAAACAAGTAAGATCTTTATTTACAAATAAGAATAATCGGTTTACCGCTAAAACATGCAAAAGTAAATTTTTCAATTTGTAAATCCAATCCTTTTAATCAAAACTCTGAGAGAAAAAATTGACAGTTTATATTTTAAATCTACAGTTTACAGTCTGTCTTGCTCAGACATAAGAGTAATACTGACTAATCTATTACTACAGCTTCCGCTGAGTACTCATCATATCGACACAATATCAGTATCGATCAGTTAAAACTTGACAGTGGATATCACCGACCAAACGGTGATTACATGTACCTATATTTACTGGTATGGACATCTATTGTATGTCTTAGTATCCTGTATAAGAAAGTTCGTGGGAAACAAAAACTGGTAACCACTAATGTCATGCATAACGATATACTGTGAAATCATACATTTTCGTGGATCTCAAATTTCGTGGTTTCCCAAAAATAACCACATTTCATAGGCACATGTATTCGTCGGTCACGAGTACCAACTCATACGGAGAAAAGCTTTAAGTCAAACTTGTAATTACTTCGTGGACCTATGAATTCGTAGATAAAAAGTACCGACGAAATCATCGAAATTAAAAAACCCACGAAAAGTAGTGATTTCACAGTATCTGCAATTTCATGAAGAATGATACTGTCCCTAAACAAATTAAGCATAATAACTGTTGAATGGTAATTTATTATTACAAACATAAACGTGTGATATTCAAGTGCATTTTGTTGCATGTTTTTATGGATCTGTATCAGTACAAACGTGTCTGTTAATGTATAAAACACGTGGTGATCATTGGTTACTGGGTTGCCATATCTTAATTTGTTGGATATGTAATATCCTTAGATGCACTGAACTTTTGTTATAGAACGTATTTTATGATCACATTTCTTTTATATGATAAGGAGAAATATAATTATAGTTCTTTAAAAATGATGTAATTTATAGAGAATAAACTTAGTTCATGATTTTCTCATCAATTAATCGAACCGGGGAACTATAAGAAGTGTCCCTTCACTATTCGATGTATTGGCATTTTGATTTGGTGCGTGTATTTGTGACTTATTATATAAAGTTAAAAGCATGTAAGTTGAAGTTTGTAAGTGTCGCCATGTTTGTTTTTATGATGTTATTATATTCCTGTATTCACCAGAACACTGTGCAATAACAAAGCAATGGACTACACAAGTGACGTCACGGTGACGATAGGACACGCTTCCTGCCTGACTAGATATAAAAGTCTATCTCACAGTGTGATCATCAGTACCAGTATATGTTTAGTATGCGTCTCACTTTATTCACTTGCTGGATATGTGATGTGACACAATGTAGTGCTTTGTAGTTATTAATATGACGAGAAAGTATCATTAAATCTCACGGGTCTTGTAAATTGTGAGTGCCAGGATATGGTATTTGTGAAAGAAAAACGTAATACACACACAGGGGATTACAGATTTAGAATTTGACAATATACACAGTATGACAATAGACACAGTATGACAATAGACACATTATGCCAAAAATGAATTACACTACGTCATACGGCTGTTTCGTCCTTCTGGATTCATCGGTGATGCTAGGGCCAAAACGTTAGAAATCCAAATTGTCAACTACTGTTTAAAAAGATGAGCAGGTTTCAGAATTTATATGTGTACTGGTTGATTTCAATTTAAATAATTTGTATAGTATGTATACTAGGGAAACAATCAAAACAGCTTTACAAAATTGTATGTCATTATTATTAAGGTGATCATACGAAATAGCCTTTCGGTACATGGATATGCCAACTGTTTCGAACGCGCGGAATCAATGAAATACGACTCTTGAAAATTCGTTGGTAAATTACACATCTTTTATTTTTGCGCATTATATGTATTAATATGTCTCAAAAGTCAACTTGAATAAAATGACTAACTAAAATGATACACTGATTTGAAAATACTAAAGTAAAATATCCGTTGACTTGTCCGCCATTAGCAATTGCATCGAAATGAAGAAAACATTCAAATTGACGATGTATGTACCTGTTACAAAGACTAGGAAATACACATGTCTGAATGATACCTTTATAGCCCCTCAAGGGAGCAGTTATAGCTACAGATACTGTCTCCTCACTGTCACAAAATGTCACTTGCGATTTCTATGGATGACAACTTGAGAGAAAGATGAAGATATTTGTGATAATCCTTTCACCCATAAATAAATTTAATAAACTCTACCATAATGATTGATCTTGATGAGTCCTTTATAGTCTACAGTGCTGAAAGGGTTAATACATTTTTTCTATTCATTTCGATAACAGCGTGTATGAGAGAAAGATAGATATAGGAAGAGAGGAGGGACAAGTGTTGTAGAAAAGTGTTATATTGCTTTTGATAAAATGTATTACGACCAACTCCATGGTATCTGGTACATTTCTATTAACATGGAATTAGCAAGTTGTCTCCCTTTAAACGTTTAAAGTTTCATTCCATGTGCTATTTCGTATGCATTTTTTAGCTAAGCGAAAAATATATACATAGGGCATTGGTCGACATGTGTGTGTTGTTATGAGGATGCTGAACAGTCTCGGGTATAAATACGTACGGAAGTTATAAAATGTTATATTTACAAAGTAAATCTACGTACCTTTGACATATGTCCAGCAACTCCTAAGCAGGTTTATACATTATATTGTAGTACTGCTCTTGATTCTGCCGTTATTTATGAGTGCGCTGTTAGGTATCACGTGTTCTATGTACAGATTGTCTACCCTTGACTTTCCCCTGTGATGTCGTCTGGTTAAAAATCAGGTCAGGCCTTACTGGTTATGGACGTATTTCGTTTGTATTTCTGATATTATTGCATTATTTTCGACATGAAACATGAATTTTCACTTACAACTCTGTGTTATCTTCTCCTTTTCAGTGAATATTGTAATGCGAGTACTGGGAATAAACATTGCAGTACACGCCAGACTTCACAATATATACGTATGTTCATTGATGCATGAACCGAAACAATGCATATGCAAAATAAATAAATAAGTATAAATAAATAAACGAATGAAAAAGACATGGCGGATTTTTTTGTGTATATATATACTAATTGAAATTATAGTTATTTGTATGTAATATGACCTATCAGCCCTGTGATTGGTTGTAAGTTTCAATTGTGGCGTCACGCCTAGGACAAGTACATATCGTCAGACTTACGCATTTGAGTCAAAATGGCGGCTTTTCACATTTCAAGGTTGCTTGAAAATTGTCGCTTCACACGAATAAATGCCACAAATCTTGATTATGTGATAAAAAGAATCTTACACTCGTTTTCATTTCATATGAAATTTTTGAAACTCGTCACGCATTTTTAGCTAAGGCGTTAGCCGCCAGCTATTGGTATTACTTAAGTTAATGAGCTCAGATATTCATAAATGTCGATTTCACACAGACGGCCTCTAGCGGTAGTCACTGGTACTAAATTGAATCATATACCGGACCTACTGTCTTTATTATGCGTAACTTTGGACTCAAATGCACTTGAATGGCTTGTAAATATCATTACTTTTCTTTATAGAACATATGATCTTATCACAACGTCGTATTCTTATTGAAAATGCACCCTGTTTATCTCAATCGGGAACTGCTACTTGAATGTAGGTCATGCATGCTACACGCAACTTCCGGTAAAAATACTTCAGTTAATGAGCTCAGATATTCATAAACGAGACATAACGTCACCTTCTAGTAATACTAAACAAACTGCAAATAAAATCCATTACCACGGACTCAAGTTCACTCAAACGTCATTGGATATAATCTTATTCTTAGTTAGAACTAAGTATCCTTCTAAAACTTCGTATTTACTCTTGGAACTGTCGCTGGATTAACCCTTTACACGGAAATATTGTCCTGTGATTGGCTAAAATTGGTGACATTTACGTCCCTGTTTACAATTATATATTGCGTGGTCAGAGCTATGAAGCGGTCCTGTTCCAACTAACTGAGGATAATCAAAAGTGCTAATCAGTAATAATATATCTGATTCACGCTTCATATGATTATAATGTTATCAAAATATTGCATATTCGTTCATCGTTAAAATAACAAATCCTTACTAAAAACTCTAAAAAAAGAAACGACGGCCATGTTAGATCACGCGTGATGTTATCCGTTTCCTTATATGGCCTTCACGGCCAAATATAGTATTACTACTGATGCGGTCATGTTTACTACAATTTCCATATTTGGTCATGACACCCATATTTAGACGTCTGACCTATATCGGAAAGATTGAGGAAGTTTCCAACATGGCAGTCAATTAGGATTTCGCTTGCACTTGTTACGTAAACTTGATAATTTAACGAAATATAAGGCGGAGTATAACTTACAATTATGTAGGAGATCAACATAAAAAGTTCATATTACAAACCTATTAATGGATACGGATCCTGTCAATTAATTCTAAAATCGCCTCCGTGTGATTCACACCAGGCTTGCCTAACTAAAATGGGATCAACCGGCCGGGGCAGATGAGACCGGGAATCATGTTAGAACTAGCCACTGTCCTTCTCTAGTTCCATATTGGTATTCTAACCTGAAGGCTTTTTTTACCTTCGCAGTATTATCATTTTGTTCTATTTTCATCATAAGATATGCTATTGCATTTTTATATCGCCTTCTCGCTAATTACAGCTCAGCCAGAAACGAAAATATGCTCCGATAGGCCTACATTTTATATGTCTGTTGGTGTGATTTGTGTTTTTCGTTTATTGAAGTATTACCATATAACAGGACTCTTTTATTTCAATATACACAAAAACAACAACACCTTCGGAATGATTTCAGACATATACTGCGGGAAAACACGAGTGATCTCCCTTACATTTAGACATGCGCACATTTTACTTTCGTTTTGTGTAGGCCTAGACATCATTCGCAACGCGAAGCGGAAAAGACGAAAATGCAGGCGAGTGTTGACTTAATGTTAGGCATGTTGTTTAAGCAGCATTGACAATGAACAATATACATACACTTCTGCAACGTTTACCTACTACTGATTCATAAATAAGGCTATGTATCCCGATTTCGGTGACTTGTGGCCAAGCATGCGGCCGAAGCCGCAGAGAATGGCGCATGTTGTCAGCGGCGATGACAAAAAGGAAGGTGCTTCTACGGTATGTATAGCAGTTATTATGCAAAAACAAACATAATAAACGGACGTTTTACTCTAGTGAATTACAGCGTCACGAGGAACGTCTTTCTCCAGACGTGTTGCAAAATTTTCGAACTGCTTAGTTGCAAACTGATTTCACTTAAGCGTTGTTTGTGAGGATATTTGGCCTTACATTTCTTCTCATTCAGTTAAAAAAAANCTTTTTCAAAAGGCTGCAAGAACTATACCAACAGTGACATGACATTTTGAAATCTGTCAGTTACTTTATAGAGGAGGAACCTCTGACTAAATCATTTTCTCTCAGACACATGAAAGCCGAGTCCACAGATCCTTCCATCAGCGAATAGTTCAAATGTAGTTCAAATGCTTTCCTCGCAAACTTTTCCTTAATGGAGAAGTCAGTGATCTTTACTTGGAACAGATTGAATCTGTGAATATTGATGCTGAAAGCCTGATGAATGTGATTGAACAGCCCCTACTTGATGCTGAAACCCTGATGAATGTGATTGAACACCCACTACTGACTAAGGGCACAAATGTTGGAAACAACGTTTGTTTTGATCAATATAACACTATGGGTGGTGGGAGCAAATTGGAAAAAAAATTAAAAGTATGTTTTTAAAGATAGAAATACTGGTCATGGCTTCCTTTTAGTTTTTGTCCAATGAATTAAAAGTCAACGCAAATGTTAAGTAGTAAAAGAAATGTAAGATCCCTGGTATACATTGTACTTTTAACAATGCTTATGATCAATATCAATAAAATAAAATAAAAGTTATAATATGTAACTTGATATTTGTTAACTTCGCTCGATTTTACTGTGTCCAACATTTGATATTAAATCTTGTGTGATATATGAGAGGGATAGCACACAAGATTGTATCAATGTCAATGAAAGCAATTATTTCTTAAGTTTTCAACCATATTTCTTGAAACTTCATTTCTAAATTTCATACATCAATTGTTCAAGACAGTTTTAAGGTCAATTTCATTCAGTCAAGGTGAAGGCTACAGCTTCACAACCTGTTCATGTACATGTGACAGAGAAATTGTCAGTGCATTCCTAACTAAGTATTCAAACCAAATTTTATAAACCTTGATCCATCATTCTCAACATTAAATCATGCACTACCTGTTTGCATATACACAAGCAACCTCAACTTTCAATAAGTCCTGTTGTCAACATTTGTTGCACAATGCTATCAGTTCTGAAACCAACAATCATGACAACTGTAATAACATAGTATGTGTTCTAGCTGGTACATTTGCAGTACTCTTTTGAAATGTATTTGAAATTAATATGTGCATCTTATTTCAAATGCTAGCCTATGAAGATGATAAAGCTGAACATATGCTATAAAGTTGTTGTTTTCTTTGTGAAGAATTTATGCAATGGAAATAGAGGGAAAATAATGTAACTCTCCTAATCTTGTGTGTGTGTGTGAGTATGTATGTTTATATTTTGTTTATCTTATTCAATATTGAAACATACAACAATGTATCATATTGAATTAGAGTGCTTTTTATATTATTTGTTCATGGGAACACAGATTCAAAATAGTTCCATTTTTTATAAGAAGATACCTTTTCACTGCAGTGAATATGTAAAACATTCTATTTAAAAGTTTTTCAAAATTATTGAGAGACTTGTAAATTTATAGGTAGCAGTAATCCACTTGCTTATCCACACTTTAGTTTCGGCAAGTAAACATCCTTATAAATATTGTTCTGTAACAATATACACTGACTGATGCAAAATTGAAACTTGAACAAAATTCACACGTATTAAAAAGCATGCCAACCCTGGTCGATGTGCACACTTTACAAGATAACTTGCTTGAATATATATTGATCAATATACAAACTTAGACGATAAGTTCAAAGTTGAGTGAAATCCATGCCTAATTAATTAGCATACGGTACTCTGATTGGTCAATGTATTTATGCCAAGTAACTTTGTTAGATAAGGCAAGGGTTGATATCTTATTCAACAACAAAGGCAAAGTTCAAAGATGTTCACAATCTGTGCATAATCTATTCAATGGTTTAAAATAATCAGGTATTGGTCAAAGGGGTAAATGCCAGTTTCAGTTTTTAATGTTCTATGAAATACATTGTATGGACAAAGGGAAGCAATTCCAAATTCCTATGCAAATTAATTATCCAAAGGTTTAAAATGATATATTCTAGAGGAAACTTGGTACCACTCTTCTGACAAACCTATAAAGATATACTGTACACACAAGAAGAATAACTTCACAGTGGTACACTTTTACATAAAACTTTGATTCATAACAAATTAACAGTAAATCCTTCTGTACAATATGATGGGAACTTCGTCTTTATTTTGTTCTCCATTCCAAAAATAATATATCTTTTGCCTTAGCTTTCAGTACTTTCAGTACTTTGATTCATTTTAGCTCGCCATTCAGAGACTCACTAAATTGAAAATCCTTAGACTCGTTTCATAAATCTCATAAGAAATGGAAACTCATGTCAGATCATACATTCCGTCTTTGCGTATTGCAGAGTTATCTGCTCTTGTGAGCAGGTATTGATTGTTACGTCACTTGTTTGTAAGAGTAACGTCATCAATTTTTGAGAAAACGACGTAATTTTCTCACACATACCAATGACGTAACAATCGATACCTGTTCCCAAGAGAAGATAACTCTGCAATACGCAATGACGGAATATATACATGGCTGATTTTGTTGAAGCAGAGGAATGGAGCAACGTTACATAACGGAAAGTCTTCTCTCTCGTCAGTTAACCTCTACCTTCACCAAATCATTTCTATTTATTATTTGTTTTTTGTTTTAAAAAATAAGAACTAAATACAGAAAAGTAAAACGAAATGTTGCGATCATCGTGACTATTTTTCATTAAAAGGTTCATTT